TGGACGAGCAGTAGAAGGTCAGCAGCAGGTTGGAGTTCAGCTTGTACTTCCTGAGGACTCTCAGGAAGTGCAGCCGCTGTTGGGCCTTCTTGACGACCGCTGAGATGTTGTCTGTCCAGGAGATGTCAGCAGAGATGAGGACACCAAGGAACCGGAAGGTGTGGACCCTCTGCACACACTCCCCGTTGATGTAAAGGGGGGCCAAGTCGGTGCTGCGTCTCCTGAAGTCAACAATGAGCTCTTTGGTTTTCTTAGTGTTCAGTACATGATATACTTGGCATGCTGGGAAATAGACCAGTCCTTTTAAAGTGCTTTATTACTCTAACCTTTTGGATAGGTTAAAGAACCAGTTGTTATGTACCACTACTAGTAAAAGTTATAATTTTATTTTTAAGAAGAAAATCATGGTGAACAACATCTGTGGCCTGCATCTCTCGGTCAGCAATGATTTTCTTCCTGTGACCTCTCCCTCAGCCACATAAGTCAGTCCTCAAACTATATATATATGACGATCAAAGAAAAGAGACCACAGAGAAGATACGTTGGCTCATAACTTGTACTAAGTGTACATGTCAAAATATACAAACACACAGTCAAATAAACGGTCCTATTTTTATTCCTGCATACACACTTCCATACATACTTTAGAAAAACAAGAGCCAAAAATAATGGGCGCAAGTTTAGGAAAAGATTACCCACATGATCAGAGAGGGCAAATGCAGTAGTTCTGCTATATATGAAAAAGACTGGGCAGGTAGAGTTTTAAATGTAATAAACACTCTTTTTAAAGGAACCTCACCTGAAGCACTTAAGTAGATGCAGTGAAGGAGGGTTGGTGTAACAAAAGAAGATGCTAGTGATAGGGTGAGATGAAGATAAATGTGCTGCTATGGCGGCCCCTAAAGGAAGTGAATGAAGAAAAACTGACTGGTTTTTTTTTGTTTGTTTTTTACATAAAACCCCAAAGAACACGTTCAACTTTAACACCAAAGGCAGATCTTTTATGTGAAAATAACACATCTGACAATAATGTTGTCTATAATAGCCTTACCAAATCGTTCCAACAATATAGTGTATATGACAGATCTTTTGTTTACAGTCTAGGTTTTCAACCTTGTCATCACCCACTGCAGGTCATGCCCATCCAGAGTGGAACAGAAAGCACTGATGAGTAAGTGTAATTTTCAGCTCTCAGAATGACTCATGTAGAGAAATTTTAAAAGGTATAAGACACAATTAACCAGTACTGAAAATAAAATAAAAATGCGAAAAATGCCATGCATATTTTTTCTTTTCTTTTAACTTTAAAAAAAAAAAAATTTCTTTATGTATCTTTGGATATTTTTATTTGCTTTTTCAGCAATTGAAATGACCTTCCGGTATCTGTTGCTCAAGTCAAGAATGAGTTTTGATTCTCAGATTTGTAATACATCATTTTTCGTGTTTATTTAATCCTGACCGCATGCCCAATATATCCTGTCTATGGGCCCAAGAGGGGAAAAACAAAACAAAACATGTATTTTGCATAAGGAACAATCAATAGAATATTATTATTGCTTCAAAGATTACATAACAATGTAATTTAACAGTTAATTTTAGTGTCGTAAATGTGCAATCAAATGGCAAATTCTTTGGTAAAAGCTGTCAATTTTATACAATTCACAAAGAATATAAGTGCAAGTATATTTCATAATAACCCACCAATAAAAAATAGCCTGCACTTTAGATAAAAAGCATGAAATACAGATTTCTATATATATTTATACAGCGTACTAGAGCCGAGGATGGCAATATTATTAGGGCTCATCACTGATAATTTCGGAAAACCGGTAAAACGCATTTATCAGGAGGTCGATAAGGCAATTTTGCGACCATTATCTATGACGTCATGTGCAGAACTCACGACCTTGGTCGCTAAAAAAAGGGGGCGCGCGATGGATTGATCGTGTGTATTTTTTTCTTAAATGACTTGTTATCGACACGTGGTCGGGGAGTCGTATCAATACCTGACGTTGCACTCCGAACCTGCCGTGTACCTAACCAACACGCGAACGTATACTTTTGTCTTTTGTTGAGCGAGTGCTCCTCCCCACCCCCTTTTTCCTGTGTTACTCCGCTTTGGCGGAAGTAAGCCGTATCGCTGAGGCCTCATCCTTCCAATGGCGACTGCAAACAGGCTGAATAGAAAGCGGGAGCAACCGTGGAGGGGGCCAGAGCTGTGTAACTGAAATTAAATAAATATATCATATTCTCTGTAGCCATAAAGTTAGCGGAAAATTTGTTTCAACTCTCCAAATCACGGCCGTTTCAATGGCCAAAAATCGGAACATTTCGCTCCTTGAGTCGGGTAAGCCGTTGAAGTAAAGCCAGTTGAAAAGCTTAATATTACAACGGTGTCGCTCGTGTTATAATTGATATCCCATTTGCTTTTCCGGCTGTTAAATGTTCTCCCCGTTCATTTCAGAGCTCTATTACTTGATATCGCGTTTTCTCACAACGGGTCCATGTCGGAGAGCGGCTGAGGTGAGCTGGCGTGCTTTGACTCTCACACTGTTGTATTTCAAAATAGTTGGCTAGCCACTTGATAATGAGTTGAGTTGATGGAGACATTCTCATCTGAATCGTGTGTTTTTTAATCCTCTGCAGGTCCTTGCGAACGAGCTGGAGGAATATCAGGTATGTATCCCAGCTGTCTTTGCCTTTAACAGCTAACTAGCTGCTACCCGTTGGTGTTGACTGAGTCCGGGCATAAACTTGTTTCACTCAGTCGACTTTTAATACCCCGTTACTCCTTTGACATCACCCGGTTTTTTTACTAGCTTGATGTGGAGCTGCTGGCGTTTTCTGTTCTGACTTCGCTTTACCAAACTCTCTTTTCGACAGCTCTTACCCGGGAGATTGGACTGGCTTGGAAATGAGCACCCGAGAACATATGAAGATGTGGTAAGCTTTAACTTCGTGTCTGTTGTTATGCACTATCGGCGGTTGTTATTGTCTTGTGACGGGGGACCGTGCGGCCACGCTCCGTTCTTGTTTACGGTCTTTGTTCTTTTTTCTTGCTGGGTTACTGTTGGAAATCGTCGACTTGTGGCTTTGCACAAGGTCAAAACTCGCTCTCAGTGGCTACATTTCTTACTGTGAAGTGTTGTGTGGTGCAGAAAAAACGGCATTTAAACACTGAGTTTGATATTATTTAGCCCGACTGTTGTACCGCAGATAGGGTGGGTAGTTTGGCTTCTCTCTTGGTCGAGACGGCTTCACTGGCCAATCAGAAGCCGAGATGCGCTGTCTCTGCGTTAGTTCGCTTTCGAGATGCGCTGTGATTGGTCGATAAAAATAAGCCACGCCTGTGAGAATAGGAGTTCAGAAACCTATCTTTCTCCCTGTTTGTCCATCTGTTTAACATACATTTACTTTATTTACTGGTTATCAGAATTACTGGCTATTCATTTTTAAATGGTTTTATAAGTGGTCTGTTTTCACTGTCATGTCCATACAATGATTTATTTTATGTTATTTGTTTGTTTGCTTGCACTGATAGGTTGCAGCCAACAGACATATTGCACCAAACCACTTGCTACAGATATGTAAGCAGATTGGACCACTTCTTGATAAAGAGGTGCCATCATGTGTCCCAGGTGTTCATTCTCTCCTGGGATCTGGAAAGCAGTCCATGCTTAGGACTGCAAAAGGTGAGCAGTCTTCAAGAACTTTGTGTGTGGTGGACGTTACTCAGAAACATATTTAGATCCCATTATTATAAAGGTTTGGATGGTATACTGGTCTGTATGTACACCATAACTGACAGTGTCTGTGTCAAATAGTACTACTACTCGCAATCAGCAGAATTGTTCTGTGAACTTTTGGTGTTGATTTTCAGACTGTGACAGCGAGAGGTTTAAAGCTTCATCATATGCAGCCCTTCACCGGGGCAGACCACCAGAGAGGCCTTTGAACTGCAAGAAACCTCCACAGCTAGGTAGGCCTGACCTTCCTCTGTATACTTCTCATTGGTGTGAAGTGAAATGGATCAATGATATGCACACATTAATAACTGGCTCAGTGTAAGTTTAATACAGCTCAGGCTGCAACAATTCTTCGAGTAATTTGATAATAAAAAGTTCTTGACACAAATAGTTTGTTTCAATGCTTTGTTTAATACATTGGCTCTGTAGTGCACCATTGTCACCGTGGAAATGCAAGAGTTCCACCGGCATTTGTGATGACAAATAGACATGAAATAGAAATATGTTTAGGAGCAGTGAATGAATACAGAGTCTGAAAACATTAAGCCCACACAGTCCCCAGTTTTAAACAAAAAACTGGTAAGAAAACAGCAGCAGTAATGATGATGCTGACATAGTTTAATGTGGCGTCGTTACCGAGACGCTGAGCTCAGGTAGAGTGAAAGAAAACGTGTTTCTAGCATCCAAAACAGCAGCGCTGTTCCTGTGATCAACATTAATTCCGTTACTTGGAAAAAGTGAGCAGGACACTTTCCTAAAAGCATCTAAATAACAAACCCCGACTCGAAGAAAAGCAAACTGTAGCTGCTCCATTCGCCACTGTTTTACACAGCGAAAAATCTGCAATAATCCTCCAGAAATTGTATTAAAACATGCAGATGAGCTGATAACCTAGTCTGATAGTGTGTTGTGTTTAGATTTAAATTATACAGCTTGTTGAAGGCTGACGCTAGCTGCCCTATTTTATATTGAAGCGATACCTGCAGCAAACAGGGGTGAGTCTAAAGTGGGGCATGAGGTTTACTAGATCACATTAATTTCAAGGCTTTTGTAACATTTTTCAGATTGAAGGTGAAATAATATAAAATATTGTGTTCATAAATTGCTTTACAATTTAAAAATTAAAAAAATGCAAGCTTTTTCGCAAGCCAATAAAAATGTACGTGGGCCACTAAAACTCTGGGCACTGAATAATAATAATAATAATAATAATTATTATTATTATTATTATAATTATAGAGTAACACCATCTGCATCTACACCATCATAACATCTGTTTTGAGCAGCTCAGAAACTTTCCATCAAAGCACAGTGCAAACTTCAGAATGCTGACATGCTCGCTTGTCTTCGTTGCAGCCACCACATTCTTCTTTAAAGGCTTACAGGCACAAACCCACTCTTCGCTTGACTTCACACGCAGAAACACACACATGCACAAAAACTCATAAACATGAAAACACAACAAATCTACCTCATCCAGGAAATAAAACTCTGAAAGAGAGTACTTGAGAGTATTTATATTTTTCAATTAAAGAATGTTTTCTTTAAAAAATTACATTTTAATATTGGACGTAAAAACAATCACAGGGTGTAGATTTTTGTTTTATGACGGATGTTGTGTGTAGTTAAACTTTTAAATAATTGGTTTCATTTTTAGAAATTACAATGAGCAGTTTATTTTGAAAGACCTTATTATTGCCCATTAATAAGACTAAAGTATTTCTTATCTGATTACTCGATTAATTGATGATTACTTAATTACTAAAAATAATTGATTGCTGCAGCCCTAAATACAGCATTTAATTTTCTTTTGCTTGACAGGCTTACACCCCGCCACATTGTTTGCCATGATGTAACGAGCTGTTAATCACAAGTCGCCATTTTTAAACGTTTAAGTGGAATTATCATTTTACTCATGCAGTTCGGTGCATTTCTGATTATTCCTGTTTGATCCTGGAGCTGGGCCATCTATTTCTTTTATGCTGTCATAAACAACCTTGTAAATCCCATTCCTTCCTCAGGACAAACAACACACACATCAAAAATACTAGTGAAGTAACTCTTTACCAAGTTACATTTGTATAAATTGTCATCTAAAATCTGTCCTTAAATTTTTAAAGCTCTAAGACCTTAAAGCGAAAAAGAAGGGAAAAAAAAACACCCTTATGGAGAACTTCTTGTTTCTCATAGTTTGTTTCCCCTAGCAACATATAAAAACCAGATGGAGCAGATTTAAGAAAGGAAGTGATTTTCTTCTTGTTTACGAATCAGTTTTGAATTGGGAAATGGAGTTTAATTTCAAGCTGTGTTTGTGTAAATAAAGCCTATGAAACTGAAATAAAAAATGTAAAAAAGGAAAGGTGAAAGCTGGTGAGACAAACTGAAACCTGACTTTTATTTGGTGATGTATCTAAAGGCTTATATTTTCCTTTGTGTTCATCACCCTCTGCTTCTGCCTTACTGTATTTGTAGTTTATTTACAACTCTGTTTACTACTATTTTTCTGATTGCATGCTGCCAACAGTGAAGGTGCATCGAGGGAGAGAGCTGACCGGAGCGCAACGCTTCAGCTCCATCTGTCCTGTCAGCAACTATGAGCACATGCGTCTACATAGGCGGATCCTGGGGCATCTGTCTGCAGTGTACTGTATTGCATTTGATCGCACTGGTCTCAGGATCTTTACAGTAAGTTGGAGCTTGTCACTCTTCTCAGAATTAAACACCTACTTTGTAAGAATAATAATCAGCGTTTTTCTGCATGAAAGAGCACTCAGATTGCACCCACTGTACATGCATTGTTAATATTAGAGTGTTAAGTTGCTTGTGCCCACCTTAACTGTGTACCCCAGATTCTTCTTCTCATACAGGTATACTAAAGCATATGCTCTTGTTTTTGTTTTTAAGGGCTCAGATGACTGCTTGGTGAAGATTTGGTCTTCGTTTGATGGAAGGCTTCATTCAACGCTGCGAGGACACTCTGCAGAGATCACAGACTTGGCAGTTAACTATGAGAATACGCTAATTGCTGCAGGAAGCTGTGACAAAACCATCCGTGTGTGGTGCCTTCGTACCTGTGCCCCCGTAGCTGTGCTGCAGGGACACAGTGGATCCATTACCTCCCTTCAGGTAAAGGAGCTTCAGTCTTTATATTATGCTGTTTGTTTTAAACGTGGGTTCATCCAGTGCTTTATTTGAAGACAAAATCCTCAGGGAATCACGGTGTGACTGTATCTTTTGGTTTGGTGTGAGATTCTCTTGTTACACTCTGTGACCTAAACGATTGTTGTCAGAAATAGACCGATTTATGGCTGTGTAGTCACGTCCTGGAACAGAAACTGCAGAGCGTAAGTTGCACCTGGATCGCTCTGGCAGTGCACCAGATTTTGTGCATCAACATTCGTTGCTAGTAGGTTTAGCCCATTCTTTTATCCTTTGTTTTTCTCTCACAGTACTTAATAATTTAAACAGTCCTTTCTCCATGGCCAGAATTTAACATAAGCACAAAATCCATTTTAGTTTCGTCCACCAACAGTTCAGTAAAGTGTATTCAAACAAGATGGCTGTATCTTCAGTGTTGCAAAATGCACTGCTGGCTTTAAATGTTCATTGAAGTTAAATATGAGCATGTGCATGCTTTTCCAAAGTAAATGATAAACTGATTTCATTAATTTCTTTAGATTTTTCTCATGTGTGAATGTTGTGTAGTGGCACTCTAAAATCACACAGTTGTAAATATTAGTGCTGGCCGATTCATGAAGAAAATGTTCTGGGTAAAACACCGGTCATAATCTTTACTTTTCTACAGTTCTCTTGCCACCTTCTTTCACTATAAAAGCATTTTTTATTTCAGTGAGTTAAGTTTACCTGCCATGCAACTGTTTTTAATGGCACAGAAACTCCCTGATTGACTGAAATGAAACTGTACAAGTTCTGGTTTTATGTGAAAGATATGTTCCCTCATGGTTCATTTGGTCTTCTCTTTACTTCAGCTCCTCTTCACCCCATAGCTATGTGTAGAAACAGTACTGCGTGATACTGGGAACGTATTTACTGTTTAGAGTCATTTTCCGTGGTGCTCTGTCGCCTGTTTTTCCTTTCACTTAAAGATGTCCTGAAGCCAGTAAGAGCATTTCTGGTCCAGTCAGTCTGAAAATCATTGTTGGTGCACACCAGAAAATAAAATTTAACCTCGTCCTTCTTAATCGTTGGCTCAAGATCAAGATTTTGTCTTGGCCTGTACAGGTGGAGAAAAGGTTAATATTCACCTTTCTCTGTGAAATGCAGGTTTCGGTCTACATAGACTGACTCACTGGCTGGAGTGGGGTCTGATGGGTGGTTTTTCTTGTGGTTTCAGTTTTCACCGTTTGCCAAGGGCTCCAAACGTTACATGCTGTCCACTGGAACTGATGCTACTGTCTGCTTCTGGCAGTGGGATGCCAACAGCATAAACTTTAGGTGAGTGCTGTAAGTTAACTCGTTACCCCTTGAAAGCCTCCCAGGAGTAACCCTCATAGCTCCGTTCTGAACCGAGAGGTTTCTGTAATATTTCAGGCCTGTTTCTAGAACAAAATGACTGGGTGTGCGTCAGACAGTAGTGAGGGTGGTCTCTGCCTCTGCGGCTGCTCTTTGGAAAAACGCGGAAACTATATTAATGGTTGTCAAACCACATGCTTATTGAACACTTGATAGAGCATATCACAACTGCCACAAGACGAGAGGCAGGGCACACCCTGGATGGTCGCCAGCCTGTCTCAGGACTAAGAGACGGGTGTTAATCTGAGTGCGAATGGGTAATTTAGAATCACCAATTAACCTCAAAATGTTGGTGGCAAATATTCTGTCAAAGCATTCATCCCAAATCAGATGCGTAATCCATTGATGAAATGCTGTTGAACACAGTTCAGCTGGAGCAGTAAACTAAGACTGCTAAAGAAGAAAAAAATAAAACTATTATAAATGTATTAAAGTACAAAACAGTTTAGTTTCTGTGTGTGTGTCGCTTCCACCGAGGCACAAACAATGCTAAGCTGTGCAACGCCTTGTACATAGGAGTGGGAATAGTCATCCATTAGAAATTATTATTCTAATGGAAATTAGCAGTAGGGCCTAAGGCGTAACTGGAAAACAAGTCACATTGGGCTTAAAAGGTTTTTAACTCCCAGTGTTGGCTGCTGGTGTATTGCCATTACATCATCCTTTATACTGGCGTCTGCCTTGTCTTAAAGAAGCTCAGATAGAAAGCATATAAATAAGAAAATTTGTTTCTTTGATTATTTCTTTTTAACAATGCTTCTTGGCAATAAATCTTATACCACTGGGAACGTTGATTATTTCCTTTTAGTTAAGTGGTGCCACATTTTTGGGTTGAACAGCAGAGTTGAGTAGGTGGGTTGCGCTCATGAATAACTTGTCAGATGTTTTCTGCCAATGCTAAACAGCTTATTCTTGTTTTGAACTTCTGGTAACACAGGTGCTGCCAATCAGGTGTCTGATTGGCAGCACCTGTGAGCAGGGACCCTGCTACAGCAGTCGGTTGGTGTCTGCTCCAGACATGCTACATTTCACTAATCTGGAAACTTCAAGCTGGTGTTCCACAAACCAAGATGCAGCATTATTTGGAGTACCTAGTACCATCTCCAAGTTGAAGGGCAATTTACATATAATGGTTGATGTCAGAGAACATGTGGAGGAATGGTGTGTTCAGCGATGAATTGAGATTCTGCCTGCGGCAGGTGGATCGTTTGTGGGGTCAAAGTGTGGAGAGGATGTGGAGAATGCAATTGCTGATTGCAGCAACGATAGGTTAACAGCTTTTGGTGAAGGCAGTGTGATGATGTGGGGCGGCATCTCCCTCACCGGGGCTTGTCATCACTGGAGGCAATCTCGGTGCAGATAAGATACGTTTCTGCATGCAGCGGCAATCCCACATCTGCGCTTTTTAGGACCAAACTATCCTCCAAGGTGGTGCTCGCCCCACACATTGGGATTTATTGCAGACTAACAGAATTTTTGAGTAGAGAGGATGGAAATGCCTGCCCTTAGTCCTGACCTCAATCCCACTGAAGATTTTTGGTATCATTTTGGGTGTGCTGTTCATACCAGAGTGACCAACACAACCACACTGGTTGATGTGCAACAATTGCTGGTTGAAGAATGAGATCCCACAGCAGTGTGTGACCAAGTTGGTGATTAGTACGAGAAAGTGGTGCCAGGTTGTTGTACCTGTCACCTTCCACATGCTACAGGGGTCCCTGTTTGTTAAATAAATAAAGAGTTAAATTTCCAATATATCTTGTTTCTTCAGACTTCAATCATGTAATACAGTAAACAACACCAAACAATAGTCAACAGCAGAATAAGCTGTTTGGCCTTGATGCTCAACCCACAAATGCAACATTAAAGGGGGAATAAGCAGGCTTTCCAGTGGTGTAAGATTTATGAGAGGAGGCATTGTTACAACAAAGATATTACCCACCACACACAGATCTCCTTCTGTTTTTGTGCTAAGTTTAGTTGTATTCTAAACCTTGAACGCCTGTTTAACTGATATGCAAGTATGTTGTTGTCTCTTATCTGACCAAAACAATGGCAGCGTGACATCCGACCCGGCTGTAATCTCGTCTGTCATCCAAAATGTTGAGATGCTGGTTGGTTTAGATGTAAGTTTGACTGTCAGTTTATGTTGAAGGACAGGGCAAAAGGTAGACATGAAATATAAAAACGAAAACATCATTTCTTTAGCGTCTGCTCCGAATTCAGTCACGTGTTCTATTTTGGATGAAATCAGTGATGTTTTCTTCTTTACTCCCAGCGATCGACCGCACAAATTTACAGAGCGGCCAAGGCCAGGTGTTCAGACCGTGTGCTCCTCATTCAGTCCAGGTAACCAGACATTTATATGTTGAGTCCCTTTTCCTGCCATTTCTCCACCGTCTCCTCCACCATCCTGTAAACAAAGTCTAGAGCCAAAGCAATCAATAAAGAGCTGCTAGTTTTTAATGACCTCTGTGCTACTTCATGTGTCTAACTAAAGAATTATTTAGTTATTTTATTGTTGTAATTTTAATGGTTGTCTGGAACAGGTCTCTTGTGAATGAGACGGTGAGTCTCCATGGGACTACCTGTATAAATAAAGGTTAAATAAAATAAATTAAGTGCAACACGCCATTTCACGTTACCAACTTTTTTCCAGGTGGGATGTTTTTAGCAACAGGAAGTACTGATGATGTCATCCGAATATATTACTTGGGAAGTGGGAGCCCAGAAAAGATATCAGAGCTCCATGAGCACACGGTAAGCATCATCTGAAGAGCAAAACTTTATCCTTACAAAGGTTTTATTGGCAGAACTTTGAGCTGCAAATGCAAATTTGATGTAAGAATTTGTTGTTCTTCTCCTTTTGATCCTGATGATCCTTTTACATGTCTCTGGTTTCTAGGACAAAGTTGATAGCATCCAATTTTGCCACTCAGGTGAAAGGTATGATAAAAGCTCATTCTATTATTATTTAAAAAATTATATCAAGTATTGCAGTATTCAGAGTACACGTTTAACTGAGTGGGATGGTGTGTAAAGTGATGGTGCCTGGTGTTTGTCGCTGTCCCGTGCCAGGTTTGTGAGTGGAAGTCGAGATGGAACAGCACGGATCTGGAAGCTCCACCAGCGGCAGCAGTGGAGGTGCATCCTGCTGAACATGTCTGCCACTATTCCAGGGTAAGTCTTTGCTCTTGTGAACCAGCGCGGACAAAAGTGGGTCTTATCTTGGTGAAGATGCCTTCTTGATTTTGGTTCTGTAATAGCACAGAATGAGCTAGATTCTCATTTGGAATAAAAAGTGCCCGATTTGCTGAACGAAAAGGAAGCGTTTGCTGCCTAAGCTGCTCGGAGGAGCTGTCGGAGCATGTCCAAGTAAACCAGGTGCTGACGGCAGCTGAGGAAACCGTTTGCTCAAATACTTATTTGTTCAGTTGTCGGCTTGTATTGGCTCGGTCATCTGTTTGGAAAGCAAGTCGCCAACAAAGGTTTTCTTTATGTATATAATTATACATACCACTGAAAGAACTTGTTTGCTGAGGGGTAATACTGATTGATGTATTTTTTTGTAATTACAGGGTTGTTTTATGAATAAGTTTGTCTGGTTCAGTTGTATTGTGTCCCCAGGATTAGGCTTTGTGTTGTCTTAGGTTGTGTATAGCTTCACTTCCTTACTATAGGCTAGTTATTCCTGGAGAGTAACCAGTGGAAATGGAGGACAGATCTTATGTTTGTTTTTATCTGCCAGTTAACGCATGTTCAGTATCAAACTGGGGAGGCTTTCAAACATTCAGGCTGTGTTTCGCTGTACATACCGGTATGTATATAATTTAAAGCACAGTTCTTGCACTGGCAAAAAATTAGCTGCGTAAAATCAAAGTCTGCCTAAAAGAAGCCACTTTTCAACACTTTCAGGCGCCTATTTATGGATTTATTTTAAAGCGTTAAAATGAACTTTTAATTTCAGCAGTCACTAGAAGAAAGAAAGCCGCATGCATTGAATTACCAGTAAATGCAGAATGTGGGTTGGCATTGTTTTATTAAAATAAGCAAGGACTTACCTGAATGAGACTCATACCTCTAGGTATACATGGTGTTCTCGGTTTGCCAGCAGAGCATTCCTCTGGACAGATTGTTCCGTGCTAAACTAGGTCTGCTTCCAAAATTCAGTCATGCAGAATTTATATGTATATGAAAACATGAGCATATATTTAAAATGTACAGCTCCTGTTTACCAAAGTGTTCCAATGCCGTGTAAAATGTAAATAAAGACAGAATTCAGGCAAGTTCCCTGTGCCGTGTACTCTCCTTTAGTGTCATGAGCGCTGGGGTCAGAGCTCTGCTTTGCGTGTTTGGTTTTTATCTTGCACTTGCAAATGCAGCAACAAACCTGTGTGCACTGATGACATTTCTCAGAAGTGTTCCCTCGTTCCTTCTGTACACAGGATCTCCGGATTCTCTGAATCTTCTAACGATAGCTGAATAAATCCTCTAGTGTTTCTCATCATAAAACTGCAGTGTGTTAATTTTAAATCAAACCGTTTGCCCACATAATGGTGAGGCATAACACTACTTAATTCTGCAAAATTAACTCATCACACTTTTTTCCCCAGGCTTTTGTTGCCTCTGTCAATAACGGTTGTTTTCAGTTTAAAAACTCAATGTGATGTTTGTGCTATTTTCAGTTAAATTTGGGGGTTGGGGGGTGGTCAAATGATTTCCAGGTAATTGCATTCATCTCAAACACATTTGCTTAACAAGTGAACGCTCCCCAGCTTTAATTCCGGGAGGAGACACAAATCCCTTTGGTGTTGTGCCGGGAAGGGCATCCGGAGTAAAATCTGCCAAATCAAACATGCGGAGCTACCCGCTGTGGCAACCCCGTGTGAATAAGGGAGCAGCTGAAAGTAGCATATTTATATTCATCTTTTTTTTCTTTTTTTAAAAAAATATCTCTGCATGTGTTTTTCAAATATCTTTTAAAAAACATTCTGTTTATCAACCAGCCTTTTTGTCTTGGAAATGACTACAAACCTCTCATGTGCCAAAGCCTGCCTTTCACAAGAATTTAGTGATAATAATCTGGTACTTTGTGTTAGAATTAAAATCTGGATTTCTGTGATTACAGTGTCATCACGAGATGTGTCAAAGGGACTTTATAAATTCGTTTCCATATAACTTTTTTAGTATTATGAATAATTTGTTATTTGATGTTCGTTTGTTATTTTTCTCTCTCAGTGTTGAGCCAATGAGTGAAGAGGAAAGCTACTTCAAACCCAAAGTCACCATGGTAGCGTGGGATCGCCATGACAATACAGTCATCACGGCTGTTAACAACCATCTCCTCAAAGTGTGGAACTCCTACACAGGACAGCTGCTACATATCCTTAAAGTAATTGTGCTGCGTTCTGCTGCAGAGCTCATATTAATACTGACTATGATGTAACTGCCACAGATTCTCATTTTAAACCAGAGATCAACTCGAGTGTTCTTGTTTTTCAGGGCCACGAGGCAGAGGTTTTTGTCCTCGAACCTCACCCTTTTGACCCCAGGATCATCCTGTCTGCTGGCCACGATGGGAACGTGTTCATATGGGACCTGCTGCGAGGCACAAACACACAGCATTACTTCAACATGGTACGCTGACACAGCACTGCCTGAAGTTGGCTTTTATAGGATGGTGCACAGCGGAAAGTTGTTAACCCCGGCGGGATGGAGCGATAACATGATGCGCTCAGAGTGTGATTCATTTGCTATAACACTTAATTGTGAGGGACTGAAGGAACAGTGTAGTTGTTTTGGCCAAGGTGCATCTCTGCACACAGTAAGAGGCAAGTGAGCCAGATTCTTTCCTCCTTTACATCCTATAACAGCGGGAGAACACTGACTCACACATGTGACAACGAATGATCTATAACTGCTGGGCAGATGTGGTTATAATGTTTTTATTCTGATGGACACTAAATTAGGGCAGTAGCATGATTATGATTAAAAGCAGTGTGCATAAAGTTAACCCTGAAAGCAGGATTTCTTCTATTTGGATACTTTTTTTTTTTTTTTGTGGTATTTTTTGTGCAAAGTGAGAGAAGGAAATACAACATCATTAGTCTTTCCCAGTTACTGTGAGGGAAGGATTTGTGCTGCTGTTAAAAATTCTCATTTTCTGACAAGTTTCTTCTATTTTGTGGTTTTTCATCCAGATTGAAGGCCAGGGTCACGGAGCTGTTTTTGACTGCAAATTCACTCCCGATGGTCAGCGTTTCGCCTGCACGGACTCCCATGGCCATCTGCTCATCTTTGGCTTCGGCAGTTCCAAGCCCTATGAAAAGGCAAGAAGAACTGTTGCATTTTGGAGATCGAGAAAATGGTTGAAATTTTACGTTTTGTGAGCAAAGTGAAGACATTTACTTATTTCTTGCTTCTCCTGATCTCCACGCAGCTTCCAGATCAGGTGTTCTTCCACACAGACTACAGACCGCTGATCCGGGATGCCAACGGCTTTGTGCTGGACGAACAGACACAGCAGGCTCCCCATCTTATGCCACCACCGTTTTTAGTGGATGTGGATGGAAACCCTCACCCCCCACGGTAGACGTCACCTTGTTTTCATTATGCAGCATTACAGTCTTCGTTTATTGCCCAAAAGTTCAGATGTTTGAATGTTAAATCAGAGGTTCTGATTGCCTGAGAGCAGCATGACAAAGTTAAAATGGTTTTCCCTCGACTATCTTTGAATTCGACATTTTTCCTTGATTTTTAGGTACCAGCGACTTGTCCCAGGGCGGGAGAACATTGCTGCAGAGCACCTGGTACCTCAGCTGGGATATGTAGCCACCAGTAAGACCATAATTCTGCTGCAATTAGTCCATTACCTTAATGGAAGATTATATACTTTTAAATGTCACAGACCCATTTTCACTGTTTTATTGTCTCGATTTAAGACCATCTGAACTGTATTTACAGCTAAACATATCAAACTTGATGGTGTTTGACATGTATCACATCTTCAGGTGATGGTGAGGTGGTAGAGCAGGTCATCAGCCAGCAGACTGCAGAACCCGAGGAGGTTGCAGTCAGACGCAGCAGCCTTCTGGACGAGGCCATCCGACAGCTTCAAGAGCAACAAGACAGACAGAACCAGCCTGAGACGGGAGCAGTACCCGAAGGGCCAGCCGAGGCCCAAGGCTCTGTGTTGGCTCCAGCACCAAGCACACCGCGAAGAGGTATCAGTACACCATCACTGCTGCACTGGATTGGTTTTAGTAGACCTTAGAATTTCTCAGAATATCCAGAAAAGACTTAAAGTATTTGCTGACAGCGAGTATTTTTCACTTCAGTGTCCGTGAACGACCGAGCAGATGTGCAGTCACCCCCTAATGTGGGTCTTCGCCGCAGTGGACAAGTGGAGGGCGTACGACAGATGCACCAGAACGCTCCTCGCAGCCAGATGGCCACTGAGAGAGACCTGCAGGCCTGGAGACGCAGGGTGGTGGTACCCGAACTTCCACATAGCAGCTACAGGTACAATATGTGCCAAGATGTGTCATTGTTTATGGGAAAGATTTTTATAGTTTATAAATAAATGGAAACCAATTTTAAAAGATTGGAATCTATTGCAGATGTAGTGAATGTTGTTGATCGTCCAATAACAACGACGTGTGGGATGTTTTGATGTAGAGTGAAGAGTCACTTCTTGTAGTAGGTATGTTGGCTGTAAGTCAGATGGGCAGGTTAAAGATTAGTATAGTTTGACAACAGGGAAAGGTAAGGGCAGATAACGAGCATCTCAGAAATGGCAATTCCTTTAGGTTTTTCAATCCCAGTAGTATTTTTTGCTAATCAACTGTATAAACGGGGACAGCATGATGGGGCTTACAGCTTACTGGGCTTAAAAAGATTTGGTGCCACGGCCTCCTTACAAGACGCCACAGGGCACCTTCAGAGATCCTGAGTGGATCGTATCTGTTTTGCTTCATGCTGGATAAAGATGTTCATAATGTTCTGGCTATGCAGATTTATTCAGTAGATTCCAATGTGTAATTAATTTGGGTCAATAATGAAAAAAATACATTTTTGTGTTAATCAGGTCTGTCGATTCAGAAAACCTAACAGGTTTACTCAGTCCTTTGGTCTGAAATATATAGATTGCTAACGAAGGGCCAGTTCCTCGTGGGAAGCACTGGGAATGACATGAACAGAAAGTCATGTCTAAACTTGGTCATCAGTGAGGTTTTCTAGCATTTTTCTGGGTGCTTATTTTGACGTGAATTATATTTTTCAGGGACCAGGAGGACGTTCGAGTAGCCAGAGGAGACGAGGAGGTGGTTCAGTACAATGTAAAGAAGAGGCGCATTATGTACAGCAGCTGTCGAGTAGGTTTCCTGTTTTTCCACCCAGTGAAGATGGTTTTAAATTTTCACAGCATTTAGTAAACTTTTACCAATTTGCAAGGGAATGCTGCAGTTTAAAAAAAAAAAAAAAAAAAAAAAAAAAAAAAAAAGATTGCTAAAGGATCGAAGAACAAAAGGCACGCTGTATATTGAGTGTCCTAGTACAGCTTTATTTTCACCGATGCTGAATCATTCCCATCTGTCCCCCCAGGATGATTCAGACGATGAGCCTTCCACCGCGAAGCGAGCGCACAGCCGTGGAGATGCATTGGAATACATCGACGAATCGTGTGAAGAGGGAGAGGAGACGGCAAGTTCGGAGATGCACTCAGAGGTGATGCACTCTCCTCTTGATGAAAGCGCTCTTTACAAGTCCCCCCCCCCCTTCTTAATTGTGTGTAATTCTTTCTTTTTTTTCATCTCTCCAGGACAATGAGCTGGATGGTAGTGACCTAGATTCCTCCAATGATGAGGAAGAGTGGAAAACTGACAGCTCAAGGTGAATATACTTTTTATAGATCAGGGTCAAAGGGCATTATTTTCCCCATCAGTCACTTTTCAGAGAAACAGGCTTTCCCTGGTAACCAAACATTTCCTGTATCAAAAAAATATCTACAGTAGCAATATTTGTGTAATTAGGTGTGTAGCTTTTTGTGGTAATCACACCTGCTTTTGATTGGACAGCCATACATCCAGCGAATACTCTGACTGGACGGCAGACGCTGGTATAAATCTGCAGCCCTCAACTCCACTGTCATCACGGAAACGAGTAAGACGCAGACTCAGCAGCTCTGAAGAGGAGGAGGAAGAGAACGAGGAAGAGGAGGAAAAGCAGCAAAGTGATGAGGAGGAAAGACCTAAAAAGAAAGGCAAAGAGAAGGCAAAGAAGGCAAAGAACAAGTTTCCTCGGGTAAGGTTCCTTAATCCTCATTTATCTTTTTCTCTTTGTGAATCTGATTAATAACTGCTTAGACAGAATGACGAGTGTGAAATATTTGAAAATATCTCATATTAACTTGTTTAATGTTTTACATGTTGGTGCTTCAATCAGCGTCCAAAGCCCAGACCATCCATTAACAGGGAAGTGTCCAATGAGTTCAGACCATCACCGTGGATCACTGATGTCATTCCCAGGAAGTCTCCTTTTGTTCCCCAAATGGGTGATGAGGTAAGAGGGTCATCAGCCTAATGCCTAATTGGAAAAGAAAAATCATACTCTCTCATTTATGAGATTGCAGTAGCCGACATTTCTGCTTAGTGCTGTTTATTTGAACAATTCTGCAATAAATTTGTTTAAGCTTTAACCCTGGATAAGGTCAAATGCCTTCATCACCACAAAACAACCAGTCAAGTTTATTTTTAAACTTTTTTTTTTATCAACAAACCAATACTTGTACTTAGTAAGTATACTTCATTTTATTGCAGCAATATTTAATAGTAAGCACACGGTGTGGAAGGAAATGAAGACTGTTTGGGGCATGAAATGTATAGTGGCTAAATTAAATGTAGTCTTGGGTTTTGGCTGAACACCATAAATAGGTCTTCTAGCCTAAAAGTACAAGATCGCGATTTGGTCTGGCAGAGCTAAATCCTTCAAGGTTTTTTGTCTTTTGGGGGGTTTTTTTTCCTTAAATTAAAAGGACAAGTACATTTACTTCTTGTGGTTTTAGTTGGCAGCCTTATACTTGTAGTCATAGTTGTAAAATCAAGAAATGATGCTCATGTCAACCCAGAGGGGTAGACTGAGGGAGGTTCAACCCAGCCAGGCTTTGTGTAAGCTGGCTCCACAAAACCTTAAACCCTACCCTGATACGGCCGTCATCATTCTCTTTTTTTTCTTTTTTTTTGTGTACACTCTCATATAAAGGATGTTGCACATGTCACATGACTCTCTGCTCCGATCGGGAACGTCATCAGATGATGATAATACAATGGTGCTTAAAATCTAGAATCTAGTCTAAAATATAACAATAAAATGCAACACTGTTGCAAATAAGACAAGATTAATGCTACAGAAAATTGTTATTTTGGTCATTTATGGCCCGAGAACGGTTAAATAAGCATTTTGATTTAGTTAATTATTTCATTGCAGATTGTGCTCTCAGTACTGCTGCTTATTTCTAATGTAAAAAGCAGTGTAAAAGAGACTTTCCAGCTTTATTCCATACTTGGAATTAAGTATAAAGCAAGTATACATTTTCTGCATCACCAAACGCATACAGGCACTTTCCAGAGACAGTGTCATGCACTGCTTTAACTTTAACGTTGGTAAGGTTCACCTTAACAAGTGTCAAAGTTGCACCCCCTGAAAACATGATTGCATGAGACACATGTAACACTTGCACAAAATGCTGGATGTAGCAAAAATGCTACAAATGAAGTCATCTATCCAAATCGATTTAATTTAAGTTTTCTTTCTAATTTCTTTATTTAGCAGTTATTTCATATTCAGGCTGTACAGGGTTTATACACCTATGTACAAACATTCCCTCTAACCATCTGCACGATTTGTCTTTCAGGTGATCTACTTTCGGCAGGGACACGAGGCCTACGTTGAAGCTGTAAGTCGGAGTGAGCTGTACGACATCAATTTAGAAAAGCAGCCCTGGAAGAGAATGGAGCTCCGGGTAAGACGAGGAACAAACAAAATAAAGATCATAAAAATTTCCCAGTTGATGATGAGTTCGGAGGAATACATAAAATGCTAATTCCTGCTTAAGTTCTCCAGTCTGCATGTGTCAGTTACTATTTTCAGTGGTAATATGTAACTGCAGATTAAGTAGGAATCCTGCTGTGTGTTTTTGTAGGACCAAGAGTTTGTGAAGATCACTGGAATCAAATATGAAGTTTGCCCGCCAACACTTTGTTGCCTGAAGCTGACGCTCATTGACCACGGCACCGGCAAAATCACAGACAAGTCATTTTCTATCAAGTAAGCAGCTCTGTCCATTGGTGACATTCCTCTCTACGATAAAGCACATCAAGTGTCTGCTCTTCTTAATCACATTACCACCCGCTCGTTGGGTCAGTATTTGAATTTGACACATCATGAAGGAAAAGAAAATGTGTGAAATGTAAAAATACTGTCCACATAATTTTGATGATCCTGGTCTTTTTTGGAAAGGCTTTTCTTACTGTAGTATTTGTTAGTGTTTCCAGCATCAGCTTCACCACCAAGTCTTGAAGGGATTTTTGTACCTTCTTGTCAAAGTGACAGTTTTTCCTCTTTCTTGTGTCCCTGCAGATATCACGACATGCCAGATGTGATTGATTTCTTGGTGCTGAGGCAGTGTTATGATGAGGCGCTTCGAAGAAACTGGCAACCAAGTAAGCAAAGCCAAAACTGCCTGTTAGAAATGTCCTCTGCTGATCTGTTTAATGCGTTCTGCAGGGATATATAGACAGACTAAGAAGTTTGAGAAGATTTATTCCAGTTTGATATTGCTGGTTGATGTTTTTCTTTCTTTCCCTGCATTGCTATTTTGGTGATGTGAGAGGGGGAAAGGTGTTGTTGTTCACATACATGCTGTTTCCAATGATTCATCCGTGCGGTCACCCTCACAGATGGGTGCCAGGCTTCCTTTTTTTTTTCTCTCCCTCAAACACCTGAGTTTGATCGTATTCTCCTTGTCACAGACGACAGGTTTCGCTCGGTGATAGATGATGCCTGGTGGTTTGGGACCATCATCTGCCAGGAGCCCTACCAGCCGCAGTACCCAGACAGTCTCTTCCAGTGCTTCAAAGTCAAGTAAGAAACACACACTTTGTGGGGACAAAGTAAAATTCTTCAGATATTTTAACTATCAAAAGCTGGATATTGTAGATGCTGCCAGACAGCAGTGAGTGATGTGAAATTTCTAAGGGACTATACTGGGGTTGATTGAGACAGCATTAGAGGTGATGAGGCATAAATAAATCTATATAAATCTTCCTATAGTATTCAGTGGTTCAGCCGGGCTTTGTCCAGCATTGTTTGGTTGGTTGCTAACAGCCTTCTTGTGTTTCTACCAGGTGGGATAATGGTGAAACTGAGAAACTCAGTCCTTGGGATGTGGAACCTATTCAGGATGATGGTACTAAAGGCTGTTTACTAGCTTACTGTGGTTTAGTAATTTCGCAGAGTTTGGTTAATAGGTGTCAGGGTGTATTGAAAGGGTTTGTCTTTGTTGTGCAGCCCCACAGCCGGACACAGAGGGAGGTGGTATACCTGTGACCGCAGAGGAGATGAGGGAGCTGATGTACAAGCCTCTGCCAGGCGAGTGGGGTGAGAGGAGTAGGGATGAGGAGTGTGAACGACTCATCGCTAGCATCGATCAGCTCATCACTGTCGGTGTGTATGCATAAATGGATGTTCTTTGTCTTCCAGTTTGTTTGATTTCACCCACGTATTCTCTCCTTCATGTTTACTGACATGTTGTCGTCGTTGTCATTTGCTCACATCTGCCTGATCTTTACACTCGTTCTTTCCGTGTTTGTGCCACAGAGATTGCAGCTCCGTTCTCTGGTCCCGTGGACTTGGTCCAGTATCCCAGCTACTGCACCGTGATCGCCTATCCCACAGATCTGGGCACCATCAGACTGCGGCTCATTAACAGATTCTACAGGTCAGTTTCTACCAATCTTCTCCTCAACTTTTGGCCCAGATTTGTCCTTAAAACGTGTTCATGAAATGCAAAGAAGTGAGAAGTGGTGTGTAATGTTGCGTTTCATTTGCTCCGCTTTGGTAATCCACAGACGCCTCTCAGCATTAATTTGGGATGCCAGGTATATTGCACATAACGCCCGCACTTTCAATGAGCCAAGGAGCAAGATTGCCCACTCTGCAAAAATCATCACCAACGTCCTCCAGAAATTTGTCAAGTATGTGTTTCTGGACTTGTTTGTTCGTAGACCTTGTGATGATGCACGAACTGTAAGCGCAGAATTTCTAATTGTATTTCTTGCTGACACATTTTCTCACTTTCTCAGTAATCCAAGCTGCACAGATATCATGGAGATCTACAATGAAGTGGAAGAAATGGATGATGACGATGAGGTAAGTCTGAACCATTTAACAAGTAGTCTTTGTAGTTGGTGGGTTTGTTTTTGTTTTTTCATGTACTGCTGTAAAAAAGTTTGTTAAAAGTAAATAATTTTTAAAAGAAATTCAAAAGAATCTTTTAAAAATTCAACCAAAAGTTGGTATGACTGTCCTTTGCAATTAAAACACCAGAACTCGCACCCTGAGTTTAATTTCAAGTAAAACTGTACTTAGTGTTTTTATAATATGAGCAATCGAAGCACTTCTTGCTACAAGTCTCATTTATCCAATAATGCTTTTTTTTCTGTACCTATGAACCTATTTTAACATTTGCACACTCCAAAAAATTAGGATTTGGTATTTTTGCTAAAGATATTTTGACATGCAGACCAGAGTATTTAGGGAACCCGCTCTACCTCCTGAGCCACAGCCAGCCCCCTCTGTTTTAGTGCAGTTTATTCATACAGATACACTGTATGAATAAACACTGTTGTGCACACCAAAACATACCGAGACCCTCTGTAGGAGGTGATCTTGATGCAGTTCCAGACCTCCAGATCAGGTCATTTATTGTGAGGTTGTGATGGAGTCTGTTTGACCCTACTAGCTGGTGTATACTGGAAATAAATGGCTTCCCATAAGCTTTGCATCCTGAGATAAAGCAGAGTAGCAGATGTGCAGGGGACAGTTTTGCCTGACACATAGGAGTGCAGCACCTTCTCTCTGTATTTCCATTTATTACTCCCACCCTAGATGTATCTGGCCAATAAGCAGACTCAGTCATCTCGTGTGGTTTGTAGTGATGCAGTTTGATTCACTTGGAGTTTTAACTGTATGAAAAGAAATTAAATCACAGGAGGAAGTGTGATTCATGAACTCATCAGCGGATTCAGACCAGCGTAAACAAACTGTAGATGTGGAAAAACGCCTTGAGGTACAAGGTGTCTGGCAGCTATCAGAGTATGTGATCCCTGTGTAACGTGTCTGATCCTAAACAGTGTTCCTCGTGACTCTGGCTGGAAGTTTGAGGTTGTCATTAAAGGGAATTTCGAAGGCTTCCCCAATGAAAAGGAATCTAAAACAACAAACATGCTGGAAGCAACTCGCTTGTAGAACATCTGCCAGCTGTTCGCTTGTGGAAATTTCAGGATCTGGTTGCCTAGGGGATCCTGTAATGCATTTACCTAACAGGTCATATGTCAATCAGCAGTATCCTTCACTCTCACTGGTAGTCTCTTCAGTCGCGCAACTGAAAGTTTATCACTAGTGGTTATTTGAGCTGTAGTCGCTTCCATTCCTGTGATCGTGGTGAACGTCGCTGTGAATCTGTGATCCCGTTGTGTGAAAATGTAATTGTCATTGCAGTTGTCTGATTAAAGGTCACAGTCAAATAATTCAAATGTGATTGCTGACTACAGGAAGAAGACACCGAAGCGCCAGGAACATCTGCTGGACACAGACTGCGTCAGGTAGATGCATTGGATGGGTGATCGGCATATCTGTAAAAACTGTTTGACATTTCAAGATTACAAAAAACAAAAAAAAACTGACAAGGGGATGATGAAACACTCTTTACATTCATTTTAATAAAAGCTAACAAAAGGGGGGATTTGTTAGGTTGTGCCTCATGTCATTGAGTTGTTTCTCCCTGATATTTGCAGCGCTCTGTAGAAGTGCTGCCAGACAGAGATGCCTGGAAGGAACAGTGCAAGAGTCTGCTCAACTACATATTGGAGTGTGAGGACTCGGAGCCGTTCAGGCAACCTGTGGATCCTCAGAACTATCCAGTATGTTATCACGGCACACTACAGGCCACGCTATGAGCAGATGCTGTTTTCAGTTGTGCGTTGAAGTCCCTTTGTTTTGTGCTTGCCCAGGACTACCACGACATCATTGACACACCCATGGACTTTGGCACGGTGAAAAGGACCCTGGAGGAAGATCGCTATGAAAACCCCACAGAGCTGTGCAAAGACACACGCTTAATATTTGCCAATGCTAAAGCTTACACACCCAACAAACGCTCCAAGGTAGGGAGGGGATGTTCACATTCTCTGAGCTTATTAGCGATTTTACATTTTGGCTCGCCCGCTCAATCTTCTTTTGCTCTGTTTTCAGATTTACAGTATGACCTTACGGCTCTCTGCCTTCTTTGAGGAGCGAATAAGAACAATCATATCAGAGTACAAAACCGCTGTCAAAAGCAGCAATAGGCTCCGCCGCAGTCAGAGGTTTCGCAAGAAGATACTGCAGCAACAGCAGGACCACCCCGACACCAGGTCTGAGTGCTGCAGCTCGCCTGAAACGTTTCACTTTTCATTTGCACGTTATCGGTCTGAGTTGAAGAGTTTCTTTCCCCTTTTTTTCCCCCCCAGTCAAAAGAAGGCTGCAGTCAAAACTCAGGAAAAAGTGGAGTCCGTGTCAGTGACCAAAACTACCTCAGCCAAAGTGTCTGCTCCTGAGAGAGCCAGGAGGAGTCGAAGCAGCAGCTCAGGTCACAGCTCCTCAGAGGACGACTCCGGCTCTAAAGGTGCTTCATCAACATCAGGTACAGACATCAGAGCACCCCAGAGGTCATTTGTTACCATCACAATGGATTTTGAGCCATGATGATGATATTTGGATTTAACATTTTTGGATTTTTTTCTATTTTTCCCCAAAGAGTTTCTTCTGGTTTTAAGACCTCAAAGAGGATCATTTTGATCCCTTGGCATTTTAAAAATAAAATAAAACCCCATCTCTTATTTTAGGACTTTGATAAAATGTGTTTATTCATCATATTCTTGGTGTTTGCTTAATTAAAGGAGTAAATTAAATATAAAATTTTTTTTTTTTTAAAGAATTTTGATGTTTGTGGGATAAAAGGGGGGGCGGGGAATTTTATGACCACTAGATGTTACAGTCGCTGATACGGGACTGTAACATCTAGTCCTTTTTACTGAAACTGCCGGGGACGTTAATTAGACCCCATAGAAACATTTGATTTACGTTAATGAAAAACTATTGTTTTCCACACATTTTGATATGAGGGCTGTTGTAGCATAAGAGATGGCATCGTTGCCTTTGCTGCTGTTGCTGCAGGATGGGTTGGGCTTTGATAGTGTTTAGTTTTTGTGATCTGTACACCATCCACTGCAGGATAAAACTATACTTTGTGATGGTCCTCAACACACCATGCTAGCATGACTCACTTCCACCCCTAAGTGTTGGTCATCGATGCACCTTGAGACCAGTATTGTGCAATGATGCAATATAAAACTGGGCCTAGTCTAGTGCCCGTTTCTTTAATTTTAAATGCACTGTTACTACTACTACTATAATAAACTAATTAAATTCTTATTTATTTGTTTAAATCTCAGAGTCTGACAGTGAGAGCGAGGTGAGTGACTCGGAGGAGGAGAATCATCAACGTAGACCTAAAGCAAGAGTAACAAGAAGGAACCGTGCGAAGCAGAGGAAAAAAGGTTAGGACTGAAGTATTTATCCATAAATGTTTCACTCTTATATTTTATTTGTTTATTGAAAATTACATTACAATTGTGCCCCTTGGGGCGACTGTTGTTGTGATTAGATGCTACACAAACAAAATGTAATTGAATAAAATATCCTTGGATATATTGTTGCTAGTTGCTGAGAGCGACAGTGAAGAAGAGGAAGAAGATGATGAAGAGGAGGAGGAATTTGACAGTGAGGGTGAAGAGGGAGAGGATGGAGAGGCGTCGTCCACTTCAGATCGTCGCTATCCCAGCAGGAGTACACGGCGGACCAGAAACAGCGCTGCTGGGGACAGAAAACGTGCAGGTAACACAAGTTCACTGCCTTCAGTCTCTGACCCCGTGAGATACAAAAACCCAGCGCCAAGTGTGCTCACAGACCTTTGTGAACGGCTTGTTTTCAGAGTGCAGAGCGGAGATGAACGGTCACAGCAGCAGGTCGTCTCGCAGGGAGAGGCGTCCCCGCTGCGACTCTGACAGGGCCAAGTCTCAAGGCTCCGACAGGGAGGAAGTGACAGTTCGCGGGTTGCTAAAAAGAAAGACTGCTCGGGCAGCCGTGAATAAGATGAAGCTCCTTGAAGCGTCTGATGAAGACTACCAGGAGGAGGAGGAGAAGCCGAGGAGGAGCAGCAGCCGCCTTCGCCACACTGTCCGGGTCAGCAAACGCACGGCGGTGCTCAAGAGCAGCTCAGAATCAGACGAAGAGTCAGCAGCAGGTATTAATTACTCTTTAAAAGTCTGTGAATATTATTCAGACAAAGATTTTTACTCAGTTATGTTCTCTTCCTTCATCTTTTAGCTTCCCAAAATACAAAGGAATCAGGAAGTGAGTTTAAGGATGAGGAGGATGGCAATGACAGCGATACCTCATCGTTCTCCCAGAGTAAGCAGAATGGAAACACAAAGAACTCCAAACAAGCTGCCAAGATTAAGAAAAATGGTGAGAAATGTCCTCATCAGTCGCATTTTTAGACTGTGCTAATGCTGCCGTGGAAGTTGCCCTAAACAGCTCGATGTTTTATTCCTTCCTGACAGGTACTTTGTCCCGTGTGAATGGACACAGTGCAAAACATCACACGCCCAAGAGCAACTCTGAGCAGGAGGAAACTTCCGGAGAGAGCTCTGGAGAAGCGGAGGAGGAGGAACAGCAGCCACCTCGGTCTCAGAAACCGTCAAGGAGCACGGCAGCTGCCCCAGTGAGAAAAAGTAGGAGTACAAGCGAGGAGGAAGAGGAGACGAAAGACATCCGCCCCCTCAACACACGACACAAACCTCCCGTAAGCTCAGACGAAGAGGACAAACGGCCACACCAAAATGGAAGAAATGTGGAGGAAGCAGTTCACAAAGACCCGAAGAAAAAAAGCAAAGTTTCTCCGTCAAAAAGCCAAGACAAACAAAAATCTGCCTCAGCTCATAAACTGGATGGTGCGGAATCAGATGAACTCTGTGATTCTCCAAAGAGATCCAGCCCACGCAAGAAAAGGCTGAAAAAAGGTGACGAGCAGGATGCGGAAAGCAAACGCTCCAGCGATGAGTCCGACTTTGAAACGAGGACGAAAAGGCTGACGAGGAACAGGACCATATGCAAACGGCCTCGCGGCGACTCCTCGGCTTCGCAGAGCTCGGAGCAAGAGTACAAACCCAAGAGGAAGTCAAGGAGGAAACGCTCTACTGGCTCCTCGGACCAGGAGTCGGATAATTCGGAAAATGCGCCGAAAAGGCGGCTGAGCCTCCGAGCCCTGCCGAAAAAGAAATACATCAGTGACAACTCATTCTCTGAGGAAGACTCTGCTTCTGCGAAGCCGGGCAGGCAGAGAACTGGCAACAGAACAGCGAGAGAATCTAGAGAAGACAGTTATAACACAAGAGTGTCTAACAGGACTTCCCCGAGTGAAACCAGGAATTGTGTGTCTTCCAAGAGAAAATGTATTTACACCTCAGACTCTGATGATGGGGATGAGGACAGAGAGAAAGAGCCAGTATCCAAGAGCAACAAAAACAGCAAGTCAGGCCCCTCAAAGTGCGCCAAAAAGGACGCCAAGCGTGGTAACGGCAATGAGCAGGACACCTCTTCCCACTCTGATTCTAGTGAGGAGGAAGAGGAGAAGGAAGAGGAGGATGAGGAACATCTTGGCCGTTCGACAAGGGGAAAGGAAAGCGCGAGGCAGCCCAAACGCAAACGAAAAGAAAGCTACAGCAGCAGCAAACACAGCTCGGACTCAGAAAGCGAGCAGTCGTCTTCAGCCTCTGAAAACTCTTTTGCCAGCTCAGGGTCCCACAGCAGTCCAAAGAGATGCCGCACACGGTCGGGGATCGGCGAAAGGACTGCCAGTCGCCAGCTTAGGCAGCGCCGCCAGAGGTCCGCCTCGGAAGAGAAGGACAGCGACGAGTCGTACAGCAAACCGCGGAGGAAGACGCGGGTGAACACCCGAAACCGTGGGAAACGGACGGTTAAGTACAACGACAGCGAATGAAGGACATAGCTGCTGGAGGTTACAGGCTTTAGAGGGAAGACGAAGCCGGACGTTAACTGGAGAGCTTAAGACACTTGATTGGCCACCTTACGGTAGTAGCACTGGAGTCCTCGAGAGAAAAATGCTGTGAATCTTTCATTCAGGGATATTTATATTTTCTATGAAAAAAGATTAAAGGAAAATTTAAAAAAACAACAAAAACCATGTTTATAGATGTAATACAAACTCAAGCATTTGAACTGCTGGTTTTCACAAGGATGAAGAGCAAAACATCACTTCCCATACTGCGTGTGGTGATTTTTGCCAGCAAAAGGTTTGGCAGAGGCTATTCTGGGGAATCTTGTCAGCTTGGGTGCTAATCTAATATACCTCTGTTTAATCAAGCATACTGCTGGCTTGCACTAAGATACACTGTAATGAGGTATTTCATACACTAGTTTTGCATTAGAAACTCAGGGGTCAACTAAGTTTACTGTAGTCTCAGACATGCAGTTTTTTGTTTTTGTTTTTTTGGTTTATTTTGTCTCTTTTGAGCTAAGGTAAGGACAAGAAGCAATTCCAGGTTGGCAGATGTCCAAGCACATTTACTGGGACAAAAACTAATCCAAGTTTAGACTTTTTGACTACAGCACTCCTTTGTAAATCCATATACTTAATGCTTGACTGTATTGTGAGTTGATATGAGCCAAATGAACTTCTTTTCCCCTTACATTTCTTCTTCTTTTGTTTCTATTAGGTTTGTGTTGTATTCTAGTGAATAGGTGTAAATATGTGATTAAGAAATTGCCTGAACTTCTTGGTGATCGTTCAGTGGCAAAGAGTTTATTTAAATTTGAGCTATTTCCTTTTTTTCTTTTTTCTTTTTATACACATTAACTGCATTGTCTTGCCATATGTCACAATTTGGTACTTTTTTCTTTTTCTTTTTCTTTTTTTTTGCCAAGTACAAGTAACCAAAAGTACTTAATGCAAATTAATGTGATTTCTCATATTGGGAAGACTTTTTATTGTTGTTCTGTGTTACCTTCTTTCAGTATTAAAGTCTTTTTTTTTTTTTTTGGAGTTGACTTAAAACATTTTTTTTGCCAGTCATGATTTTGTTTTTGTTTATGGGGAGGTTTCTGAATACAGTCGCTTTATGACATTTTGCTTAATGTTTTTTCGTACTACACCTTTAATAAACAGATTTCACAGGAAGACTATTAATGCAATTTGTTCATGGAGTACAATGAATGACTTATTCTTCCTCTTAATAAAGGCATCATTTCAAGGTGTAATCTGTCTTGGACTGGGTCTTACCCGTTGATTTCATTAAGACGCTCCATCTCTTTGCACTTCCTGTGCAAACAGATGGACTTCTAGGAGTGGTTCAGGCTGTTTAAAGAACATTTAAAGCTGCTCTTTGGATGTTGGCTGCCTTTCGTTTTGATGATCCCACACTGCTTCAGTAAATTTGGGATCTGGACTCTGGGAGGCCAATGGTAGGTTTGCTTTCACATCGTTGGCTGCGTGTTCGGGAGCATGGTCATGCATGTCAACGTTCATAAGCCCGAAGATTTCCAGCACCACTGGCTGAAATGCAACCCCAAACCTTGACAGACTTCCTCCCCAAATTTAAATTTTAGATTTATTACTCACAAAATCCTGCTGCCACTAATTTTCAGTCCAGTTCTTGGTAATTTGGCTTCCCTCAGCCTTTTCTCTCTGCTTATCCTCTACTTCAGTCTTTACACAATACACACCATGCTGAGATACGCCAAGTTCTCAGCTAACTGCTCTTGGGGAATCACAATATTGGTGTAGAAATACTATTTTTATGGCTGTCAAACTGTGTTATCTTTGACATTTTTCATAAGACAATTATGTTTTTGTGTCATGCTGCTAGTGAAAAGTGCGTATATCAGGGATGTCAAACTCATTTTACACTGATGGCCACTGTGACCTCACATAGACTGGACCAATGAAACTTCACTTTCTGTCAGCGTGGAGAAGTTTAACCACACATTTAATCCCTGAGATATCGTAATAAAAGAAAGTCCAGTTTCAACAGTATGACAGTACAACAGTACATAAATGCTGCTTCAGTAAATGAAAGAAATCTCTCAGCACGACTCTTTGGACTTAAATAGTAAGAAATAAATGTGTAAAAATAACAGAAAAAATTCTAGCAGCCCAATGAATGGACTGTCCTGTAAATATATAAAAAAAGATTTTGTTAATTCACAGAAAAACTTAAAAAAAAAAGAGTAAGATTTAAACTCTAGACCTGTGAGCCAAGACATACCCTCCTAACCGCCACGCAACCGTGCTGCCTTATTTGTATTGTTTATAAGAATATGGGTGAGTGGGTGAAAAAAGATGGAATAATAAATAAATAAAAACAAATCTTTTGTTTTTATTTTATTTTGAAGAGACTCAAAACCCCTCAATTCTCAATCGTACTGCGCAGTCGCGTGAGTATGACGACATCGCGAACTAATTTTCGGTAGCTCATCGCACTTTCGCCAAAAATGAAATGAAATTTCAGATAACGAAATTTTAAATAACGTTATTTTGTTTAAATGCAGTTAATTTGAACTTAGTGTGTGTCGTTTTTATTTTTTAAATAATGGTACCGGAAGCCCGATGTTTTTTTTGTTTTTGTTTTTTTTAGCGAAAATACAAGTAGCAACAGTTATGGAGATTCGCTTTCATTTTCCAGTGAGCTAACATGTGAGCACTTCAATGGAACAGGTAAGCTTTATACGTCAAAGAAAGTCCGTTTTAATTATCCTGAAAAAGAAAAGTTTAAAATAAACTGACCTAGCTTTGTTTACATTTCCGGCTTTTGCAGCTAGGCTGACGTACAAACTAAAATCGAGCATGTCCTCTGCCAATCACTGTCAGCACTCTTAGCCTCAGAATCAACAGACAGGTTTGTACAACATGTCAGCGTGCAGGAGGATGTTTTACTTGGTAAAGCACAGGAGCCTGTTGACGTATGTACGGAGAAATCTCACTACATGGTCTCCCGTTGGAGCTGCTTTCAATGCCAGACCTCACAGGAAACTGGACCTGTTACAGAAAAATGTGGTGTGTACTTTAAAAATGATCATAATTTAAAAAAAAACTTACAAAACTGGCAGAATAACATTTACACTATGTAGGTAAGTCTTGCTTTAGTTGGTGGTGATAACTGTGCGTTTGTGTGTGGTTGCAGGGTTTGTTTGGAGTGCCAGAGCTGAGCTGTCCTGCAGGCTTTCAGGTGGCCACAGAGACAGCTCTGAAGAACACGGAGCGTCTGGTGGAGAAAGCCTGTTCTTCTTCTCCTGGAGTTCAGACAGTCCAGTGCTTTGACCAGCTCTCAGATGAACTGTGTAAAGTGGCCGATCTGGTGAGTTCAACACACAAAAGTGTGCTAAACCTTTGTAGCAAAAGTGTAAATAAGGTCATATTATTCCCCACATAGCCAAGACCAGCCCTACTGACTAACAATGGGCTGTGAGGTCGCTTTCATGTTTGTGATTACATGAGCATGATGAGTACCATTCATAGAGAGTTTGCGGAATGGCTGCAATCACAGCATTGTAGGATGGTGAAAAGATGTACCCGTGGTCTTTTTCTTTTCACGTAAATGTGTACATCCTCATCATTGAAAGAGTGGCCACTGGCCTGTATGTGTAAATAGACTGCGGAGTCCTAGCCTGACGCTTAGCCAGAGGTTGTTTGGTTTCCCCAAAGTCACGGCAAGCGTACACTGTGTTGCTCTGTTTGTGCCAGGGGACCTGATCCTTGGGGTGGACCAATCTTAGGCGTAGCTTTTTGTGTGTTTTGAAAGCCAAAGAGTCGTGATATTTTGAGACGGCGCGTCTCAGCTGCTCCAGTACTCTTGACACAAGGGATCAGAAGTGGTTTTTGCTTAAGCAGCAGTTGTGTCCCTGGCTGCTGTGTCTGTGGGGATGGTGTTCGCTCTGTTTGTGCTCCAGTCAAACCTTAAATACTGATCCATATGTGTTGGTTTACGATCAACACATCAACTTTTAAATGTTCCTCATTACTGATGGAAATCTTTTTCATATCCTTCTTGTTGAATTTGATGTGTTGGTCCACCGTGTTAATGTGATCAGTGAATTGTGTTATGTCCTGAGATTTGATTTTCACCGAGGTGTCATCCACATACCTGTACCTGACTCTGTGGCATTCCAGGGTAGGATAAGAGAGCCCTGTTTTCCATTTTTTCTATATACAGATTAGCCACGGTGGGTGAAAGTGGGGAACCCAGTGTATCTATGCTTCTGGCTGTGGACCTTTTATGTGAAGACTAAAGAAGTCACTTGAATGAGTGACAAAACATTTCTCCCACTGAAAATGCAAAGTCCAACAAAAGACCATTGTTTTAATCTCAACCTCCTAAAATTCAGTATGAGCAGAGATTGCTTGTTTTCTTGACAATCTTGTCAACAATAATCATTCTCCCTGTGAACAGGCAGACTTTATAAAAGTAGCTCACCCCGATCCAGCTTTCCGCGAGGCTGCGGAGAAGACCTGTATCGAGATCGGCACAGTCGTGGAGAAGTAAGAAGCGACCTATGTCGTTCATAGCTGCACAACACCAAGAACATGTTTTTATACGCTGTCTCCAACGGTACGATACGGGTCATTTATGCTTCAGTTTGTGCCTGTGACAGATGTTGATGGTTTTTTTGTTTCAGACTGAACACTAATGTTGAGTTATGCAAGAGCCTGAAGAATTTGCTGGACAACCCGGACATCGTGGCTCAGCTGGATCCTGATACAAGGTAATCTTACCTGGTTTTGTATCTGACCTGATTTATCCTTCATCTCATTATGAGATTATCTGATTGTTTATTTTGGCCTGTTGTGGCTTTTGTACATGTTTGCCTCTGCAGGCGAGTGGCAGACCTGTTCATGTTCGACTTTGAAATCAGTGGAATTCATCTAGATGACACACTGGTGCGTTTTTATTAATGGAGTTAAACACGCGATGTAGGAAACAATACCTGAAGGCAACATAACGGTGATTGTGCTTGGTGCTTTTTCACCCTGCAGAGGAAAGAGGCGGTTGCTCTTCATGTGAAGTTGCTGGATCTAAACAACGAGTTCCTGGTCGGCTCCCACATGCCGAACAGGATCGCCAGGTCTGCGATTCCCGAGCACCTACATCTGAACTTTGCAACAGAAGGAAGCTTCATTCAAATCGGGGGACTCCATGCAGATTCCCCCAATGACTTGGTAGGCATTTACTGTGGTTCAGCAAACGTTTCTCTCTTCTGCCCAGAAGGTGGCGCCTCTGCCACGTCTCAGCGCACAACATAGGCTTTGGGTGCTGGTTATGAGAAACACTAAACCTGTTAGAGCTCAAATCTTTAGTCAAGCAGCTGTTGTTGTTTGTTTGTTTTTATCATATTTAATCAAATTTTATACTGGATAGCAGTATGAAATAGTTTTAAAAAATTAGATCTGCAAACTTTGAGTAATCTTAAAATGACTTTCTGACAGTTGTGTTGTACCATTGTAGAATTTAAGCATGCTAAACTATTTTCTTTAAGCTTGAGATGAAAGAGAACAAAGGAAAGAAAAAAAATGAATAAATTTTAACATCTTCTGCTTGAAAACAGAGTTAGTGTTTTATCTAGCCGTCTACCTCTGACCCTGCAAAGATCAGCAGCCTAGTTGTTATGCTATTTTAACAATTCTAGATTTTGTCATGAATTTTCCTTCTTCCTCTTCCACTTGTGTAGGTGCGAGAAATCGCCTACAGGATTTATCTCTATCCCAACGCAGAGCTGATGGGGTGTTTGGAAGAGCTGCTGAAATGCAGATACAAACTGGCCACACTGGTGGGCTACGAGTCCTTCGGACACAGAGCCCTAAAGGGGACAATGGCCAAAACCCCAGGTTACTACACCTCTCTGGGGTTTTTCTCACAGTCGGGACATTTTCATTATTCAGCACTGTCAATATTTTGTGCCTTTGAGAACTATTCTCGGGAGGTTTACACGCTGCATTTTTGTTCTTATCCCTCTTTGCAGAGACAGTGATGAGCTTTCTTCAGCTGTTAACAGACAAGCTGTCAGACAGGTACAGCTTTCCATGTTTTTCATAATAAAAATCCACTGATCAGCTATTTCAGTTTGGCAGGTTGAATCATCAGCACGAGCTGATTTATGTTTTTGTTGCCTTTGGTGTAAAGGCTTCATTAACTCGGTGCTTCCCCTCGAGGTTAACCATGAGTTATTAGGCTATTTAAGATGTTTCCCAAAG